CTCTTCCAGTCAGTTGGCCAGGTGATTGTCCTCTGGATTTCTGGAGGCATTTGCTGCATAAGGTCAAGGACTATAGTCTTCAATATGTTTTGGGTTTTTTTGGTTTTTTTAATCTTCAATATGTTTTGAAGCTCAATGTCAATTAGCTCAATGTCGCCACTGGGCCAATGGCAGCTTCATGATAGACAGAAAAGATTGAGATTGTTAACAACTACAGCTTGCTTGGCCCACAATTAGCATTCTTGGCACGAGCAGTCAGGAAATCAAAAGATGAAATACATTGGCAAAGTCTGTTGTCAGGGACTTCTCTAGAGTACAGAAGAGCAATAATATCTGTCTGGAGACTAAGGTGCGCCTGATACAGGCCATAGTCTTCTCAATTACTTGCTATGCATCAGAGAGCTGGAGAATAACTAAGGATGATAGAAGAAGAATCAATGCCTTTAAGTTGTGGTGCCAGAGGGATAGGGTGAAACCAAGTTCTCCTTGGAGGCAAGGATTTTGAAACTCTGTCTCACATCTTTTGGGCATGTGACCAGGAGGGATGAATCCTTGGAAAAAGACATCATGCTTGGAAGGGCGGGACAGTACAGAAGAGGAAGACCCAGAATGGGACTGGAGAAATGGGATTAGATCTGTCGGAGTCGACAACACTGGTTCAGGATAGGCAGGATTCAGAGCTATTGTACGTTGGGTCACCATGAGTTGGAAGGTAACTCGACAGCATATAACAACATGGACAAAGTATTGACTGAGGCACAAAGCTTCAAAAGAAGATGGAAGGAATATACAGAATCACAATATCAAAAGAACTGGTGGCCACTAGGGGAGCTATGGTGACCTAGTGGCAAGAAGCTGCACTGCAGTCCCCAAAGGCCACCAGCTGCTCCAGGAGTAAAGGATGGACATTCTACTCTTGTGTGATTACTGTCTCTGAAAATATGCCAGACGGTCAGCTATGGGTTGGTTCCGACTCTAAGGTATACAACAACAACAGACTGAAACCTATACTTGGACCAGGAAGCAGTGATCAGCACAGAGCAAAGAACATTGCATGGTTCAAAATCAGGAAAGGAATGCATCAAAGATGAGTCCTGTCTCAATACCTTTTCAATCTATAAGTGGAAGAGAACATTTAGGAGGCTGGACAATATAAAGAGAAATGTAGAATTAGAGGAAGACTCAGTAACTACTTGTGTTATGTTGATGACACAACCTTGCTTGCTGAAACTGAAGAGGACCTGAAGTGCTCACTGTAGAAGGTCAAGGACTGTAGTCATCAATATGGATTGAAGCTCAAATTCGAGAAGACAAAGATTCTGACCACTGAGCTAATTAGCAGCACCATGATTGATGGAGAAGGGATTGAGGTTTTTAACAGTTACAGCTTGCTCGGCTCCACAAGCAACACTCTTGGCACCAGCAGTCAGGAAATCAAAAGCTTGATTACATTGGGAACATATACCATCAGGGACCTCTCCAGAGTGCTAAAGAGCAAAGATATCAGTCTAGAGACTAAGGTGTGCCTGATTCAGGCCGTGGTCTTCACAATTACTTGCTATGTGTCAGAGAGCTGGATAATGACTAAGGATGACAGAAGGAGAATTGATTCCTTTGACTTCCAGGATGGAGAAGAGTACAGAATATTCCATGGACTGCCAAGAGAACAGACAGGTCTGTCCAGGAGAGGATGAGATCAATTCACTCTTTGAAAGCAAGGATTCTGAAGCTCTGTCTCACATCCTTTGGGCATTTTGCCAGGAGTGACTGTCCTTGGAGAAGGACATCATGCTCAGAAGGGTGGAGGGACAGCACAAGAGAGGAAAACCCTGGATGAGATGGATTGGCACAGTAACTGGGCTAATGGGGTAGATGTGTCAGAGACAATGAGATTGGTCAGGAAAAGACACGGTTCAGAGCAATTGTGCATTGGGCACTATGAGTTGCAGGTGACTAAAGGGCACACAATAACCATAGACATTTTTAGGAAGTAGCATATAATTAAGGACTAGTGGTAAGGAAGAAAGAAACTCAAGCCACAATGAAAGTGTTGACAAAAAATAAAGCCCTCAGAATTGATGAAATAGCAGTTGACATGATTCAAGAGATGCAATCCTAGTCTGCCTCACTAGTCTATGACAAGAAATTCATGAGACAGCTACCTGGCCAACCAATTAGAAGAATTCCATATTTGATCCCATTCCAAAACAAAGTTACCTAATAGAAAGTGGAAATTAGAAAATAATATCATTAATAGCACATATAAGTAAAATATGGTTAAGATTATGTTTAAAATGGCTGGAAAAGTGTATTGACTGGAAACTACCAGAAATTGAAAGTAGCTGAGGTTATGGAACAAGGAATATCATTGCTGATATCTGAAAGATCATGGCTAAAAACAGTGAGCACTAGAAAGATATATACTTGTGTTCTACTGACTACACAATGAATTAGACTGTGTAGATCATAATAAATTATGAACAAAATTGAGAAGAATGGAAATCCTAGAAGCTTAATTGTGCCAATACAAACCTGTAAGTAGAACAGAAACAGACATTAAAAACAAAACAAAAAACCCCCCAAGAACCAAACACCCACCACAAACTCCAAAAAATCAAGCTAAAGAAATAATGCATGGTTTTAAAATCAAGAGAAGAAGGCATTATAGTTGTTTCCTTTCTCCATACCTATTCAATTTATATGCTGAGCAAGTAATTTGAGAAGGTAAACTACATGAAGGCAATGTGGCATCAGGCTTAGAGGAGGACAACTCGCATTATGCACACGGTACAACCTTCCTTGATGAGAGTGGTGAAGAGGACTTGAATCATTTACTAAAGAAGATCAAAGACTATAGTTTTAACCATAGTCTTCAATATGGATTACACTTTAGTATCAACAAACCAAAAATCTTCCCCTCTTTACCAAAAGGCAATATCATGAGAGATGAGAAAAGACAAGTTGTCAATTGTTCTATTTTACTTGGATCTACAATCAACAAACATGGTAATAGCTAGCAAGAAATCAAAAGATAGCTTGTATTGAACAAATCTACGTCAAGGATCTCTAAAAATTACTACAGAGCAAGAAGATCAATTTAAAGATTAAAATTAAAGTACCCCTGGTCCAAGGTGAATGGCTTTATATGCATCTGAATGTGGACTATAAATAAACATGAGAGAAAGAGAATGAATGTCTTTGAGTTGTAGTGTTGGTAAGAGTATTAAATATGCCATGGGATTGCAACAGTGGAACTGAGCAAGGCTGACACCATGAGGATGGTGCAGGCGAGGGCAAGATTTTAATCTGTTGTTCATAGAGTCACTACCAGGTGTCACTAAATCAACAACACTTATCAGCGACACACCTATGTTACATAACAAAACAAAATTATGTTTCAATATGCTTTGATTGCATAGCATCAGAGTATATACATAAGAATGATGAAATTTTATACAAATGTATAAACTCTGCAAAGGACAATATATTAATTTGAAGTCCACTATGTCCAAGCAGGTTTTGTTGTTGTTAAGTGCCATCGAGTTGTAGACGACTCATAGTGACGCTATGAACGAAAGACCTGAACCCTTGTATAACTTTCATCGTTTTTCCATGTTCGTAGGGTTTCTGGAGGCAAGCTATTTTGGAAATGGATGCCACTCCTGCTTCCAAGCTTGTTTTAATCTGGGAGCTCCACCAAACACTGTCCACCAAGGATAACCATTATCACATTTGACACATCAGTGTCACAGTGTTTAGCATCACAGCAACCCTGAGTTACCTCTGTACAGTAAATGGACAGACCAGTGCTATACCACTGAGCATAGATAAGGAAAAATTTTTTTTAAAAACCAAAAACACAACAAAGACAAACCACCTAACATGAAGAACATAATCAGGAAAGAAGTTTGGGAATACTCAGAGTGCTACTGTTGTTACAGTTAGGCAATGCTAGAAGAGTCCCCAGTTCTTACAGTAGCACTTCCAGTCACATGAGTGTGACACCTGATGTTCTGACTTTGCAATGACATCCATACTGACACAAGAGGGTTGCCAATGACAGTTGCATCTATGCTGTACTTGAAATGTTATTGTCCATTTGTGGAGTAACCAGCCCACTGATTCTCTTATCAGAAAACCAAGTTGTTGGATGTGCTTCAGTTATTTAGGCTTCTAAGTTTCACAGGATACTAATGTCCCCCAATTGAATGATGTCTTTGAACTATGATGTTGGAAAAGAGTACTGAATATCCTATAGATTGCCAAAAGAACAGATGTGTCTCAGAGAAGGTGCTGCAGAGTGCTTCTTGGAGGTAAGGATGGTGAAGGTTCGTTTCCTATACTTGAGGCTTGTTGCTAAGAGAGGCTGTTCCTTGGAGAATAACATTGTGCTTGGAAAGGTGGAGGGATGATGAAGGAGAAGTCCCTCAACCAGATGGATTGACACAGTGTGTCAGAGATTGTATGGATGACACAGGAGAGGACTGGTTTCTGGTCTGTTCTTCAGGGTCACTATGAGTCATACTTGACTCGACAACACTTAACAGTATTACCTGCTTTACTCAAATCTTGTGCATAGATACTGTACATATGTGGCTTTGAGTAAGACAATTATAGCTTTGTACATACATCTTAATTATGATATTATCTTAAGATATTTTAATATATTGGTAGATTTAGATCATCTTTTAGGCTCTAAAGAATATATTGAATTTGGTATGTTTCTAAGTGCAGTATTTTTATAATGAAACTATATGGCATTTCTTTGTATTTTTAAATGAATGCATATTGTGACCTATATAGCATATGAAATAGACTGTAATTATGCAGAATAGAGTAGAGGAAGCTAATGGAGTATCTATAGACCACCTGTGTTACTCTTCTTTAACTAGAATTTTGTTGGAAATAAAAGTGTATACTTTCCATAAAAGATACACTTAAACATATTCTTAATCCACTTGTAAATAGGTTATGAATGGGGATAGTTCCTCATGACTTACCTTGTAATGGTCAAGGTTGTCTTCTGGAGTTGGGAGGCCCATGTAACGTTCTGTATACACTGAGTCTGTGATGGGAAATTAATCTATTTGACTCATACAATACATTTTTCTCTTCTCTTATTCACTTTATCTATTTTTGTGTCTTAACCCATGAATAAGTTTTATATTCAGAAGTATACATCTAGATTACACCTACTTGACTTGCTAACACAGTCTATATACATCTTTGGCTCATGTCTTTCCATACTCAGCTCTAACAATTCCCACTTAACCCCAATATGGAAACAGAGAAATCAACTGGGTGATGTAAAGCCCCACCAGTCAATCCACCTGCAGAGAAGCCAAATGTGAAGTGCTAAGAAGCTTTACATTATCCTATGACCCTTGCAAACATTTTAAATGAGTAAGACACTTAGTATTTAAATTGTCTTGGGTTTTTAGGTCATGATACAAATATATACACTCATTAATGACACTCTATTTCCTTTACTTCTGCAAAACCCTACTGATGCCCAATTATTAGTTGTTTACCTAAATGCTATTTTATTTTATCAGCACATTGGAATCTAGTATAATGAGAGAATTCAATCAGCATGTATTTGTTGTATACCCACACATGCCAGTGAACTCCAATTATTGCTGTTGTTATGTGCTGTTAAGTCAGAACTGACTCATAGTTGACCTTCCAGTGGGTTTTCAGAGGCCATGAACTGTACAAGAGGAAACTGCCCATCTTTCCCCTGTGGAGAAGCTGCTGGATTCCAACTGCCTGCCCTTGGGTTGGCAGCACAACTTTTTACACATTAGGCTATCAGAGTTCACTCATAATGGGAATTTCTCTCATTTCTTTCTCCCTTTCTTTCTGTGTAGGTGTCTGAATTTTAACTTTACTGTGGTTGATAATTATGAAAATTCACCTTAATAGTCTGTCTAAAAGGCTTTTTGCTGTTCTGTGCTATGCAGTTGACAATGATTTCTAGCGACCCTACAAACTACAGGTTTGAACACTGCTCTATCTTGCACCATCCTCATCAACTCTGATATGCTTGAACTCATTCTTACAGTTACTGTTTCCATCCATCTCATTGAGGGTCTTCCTCTCTTACCTCTTACTCTCCACCTTTCCAAGCACGCGGTTCTTCTGCAAGGAGTGGCTCCTCCTTATGACATAGTCTTAAGTATGTGAGACAAAGTTTCACCATCCCCACCTATATGGAGCACTCTAGTTACACTTTCTCCAAGATATGCTTGTTTGTTCTTTTAGTATGCCACAGAATATTCAGTACACTTCTCCAACAATACAACTCAAAGCCTTCAATTTATTCTTCTGTCATCTCTAGTCATTATCCAGCTTTCAGATGCATAAGAAGTAACTGGAAAAACCATGGCTTGGATAAGTGTACCTTAACCTTTAAACTAACAACGTTGATCTTTAGCTCTTTGGAAAGATTATTAACAGCAGATTTCTCCAATGCAATGATTCTTCTGATTTCTTAACTGCTAGTACTAATGGTGTTGATAGTGGATCCAGGTAAGATGAAATTGTTGGCAAACTCAATCCTCTCTCCATCTATCATATCTATTGGTGCAGTAGTGAGGATTATTGTTTTCTTAACATTAAGATGTAGTCCATATTTAAGGCTGCAATCTTTGATCTTCTGCAGCAAATATTTTAAGTACTCCTCACTTTCAGTAAGCAAGGTTGTGTCATCTGCATAATTCAAGTTGTTGATAAGTTTACCTCTGATGCTGATGCAACATTCTTCATCATAAAGTCTAGCTTCTCAAATGATTTGCTCAGCATACAGATTAAATAATTATGGAAAAAGGATGGAGCCCTAATACACACCTTTCCTGATTTTCAACAATGCAGTGTATCCTTGGTCTGTTTAGACAACAGCTTCTTCATTTAGGTATTTTTTCACACAAGAACAATTAAGTGTTCTGGGATTCTCATTCTTCTCAACATTAGCCATAATTTGTTTTGAATCACACAGTCAATGCCTTTGCACAGTAAAAACAAAAACAAAACAAATTCCAGACATTTTTTCTGGTATTCTCTGCTTTCAGTCAAGATCTACTTGACAGCATAATGATATGCCTGGTGCCATGGCTTCTTCTAAATCTGGCTTGAATTTCTGGCTGTTCTCTGTTAATGTACTATTTTAGACACCTTTAAAAATAATCTTCAGCAAGTTTTTGCTTGCATGTATTAATTATATTGTCTGATGATTTCCACATTCTATTGGGTCACCTTTCTCGGGGGGGGGGGTATGGGAACAAATAAAGGTCTCTTTCAGCCAGGTAGCTGCCTTCCAAATTTTTTTACAAAGCCTGGTGAACACATCTAGGGCTGCATCTGCTTGTTAAAACATGGCGATTGGTATGCCATCCATTCCTGAGCATTATTGTTTTATCTTAAATATGGTAGAAAAACAAGCTACATAACTGGTTTGGTTAGTTTGGACAATCATATATATTTATATGAATTGTATATGAATTAATTACTTTATAGGAATTAAAATATATGTATGTTGCCCTGAAACATGATTGGGTAGCTCTGATAATGTAGTCCATAGCAAATTGTGCTTTTAACCAAAATACGTTCCATCTCTGGTTGTTCGAATCTACTGGCAGATCCAAGTGATAAAGACAGGGTATGAATCAGAACCAATTCAAAGGCAGTAACACATTGAAAAAAACTTTATTGTGCCTGAATTTAATAGAAGTTTTAAAATCTGAAATTTTCTTTTTAAAGATGTTGTTGTTGTTGTTATGTGCTATCGAATCACTTGTGACTTATAGTGACCCTATGTACAAGAGCTCTAAACACTCTTCTATCCTGTGCCGAACTAGCCATCTCAAACGCACTTATTCCCACCACTCCAGTCACAGAAT